ATTCTATATTTGAACTCCAGGCTCACCCAATTTGTTACGGTTTCATTTGCCTTAAAGGAGAAAAATGCACGTTGATTTGGTACATAAAACAGCAAAGCAAAATTCTCTACAGACAGTAAACAATTGTTTCCAAAGACAAAAACAAAAACCTAACAGACTCTCAGGACCCCTTGTCCAGGGAGGATGTTCCCTGGATTATTTCAAGCACAGTCACAGGGAATTCATAAAACAGGACAACACCATTTGACCGGGGCCAATATTTTATGAGCTTTTATGATCAGTCTCATTCATACATTTACTTCCTATCCAAAGTAATAATGATAAAAATAAAACAATACTGATAAAAATGTATTAAAGAATGTTTTAGTTAAAATCATTTACTCATTCTGGCTTTTCAGGTGATCCTGTGAGTACCATGGAACCAGAGCTGGCTGTCACTGAACGGCATGTAGGTGACATAATACTCTTAGGTACCAGCTTCTAGATCCTCCATGACTAGGAAGGAACGTACGGTGGCCAAAGGGGAAAGTCACGAGATGCAAGCACATGGGCAGGAAAGAGTCTCACAGGAACGTGCAGATGTTTATTACAGAATGGAACATCCCAAAGGATTCCACAAATTCTAGTCCGAATTCCTTAAGGAGAGAGAAAGCTAACTTTAACGCCCACACTGCCAGTTCTCTGGAGGATTATAACAGACGCATATAATCTCCTGTTCTATGACATGAAGAACATGGGGAAATGGACCCCAAAAAGCTACAAAGCAAAAGATTAAGGTTTAACTCGAGAGACTACTAATGCTTGCCAACCACAAATTAAGCTAACTTTCCTCAGAATCAAACTTGGCTGGTGCTCATTATATTAAAACATAATATGTTGCATGTTTTTGTTTCCAGTGGCTTGTGGGTATGCTTTTAAAAGAATAGCGGGGCGGGGGGGTGTTTTCGTTCGTTCTTTCTTTTTTAACTACAATCCTCCCCCAGGTAGTTTGTTGTCTATCCATCTACCCATCCATCAACTCATACAACTAGTTAGCATCTAATTGGTATAAAGTACCTGGTTCTCAGTCTTTTTACAAAGGCCTCTCTCCTTGCCACAGGCTGTGTGTGGAAAATGGAACCACATATCAGAATGAGATGGGAAATTCAGAACAGGCGCCTGAGCCTGGCAGAGGCACTTAAAGTCCAGGGGACAGTAAGGGGCCAGCTGGGGAGTGAGGGAACAAGTCTTAACATCACAGGATGAAGTTCCGGATGCGACCTTCTCCATCCCAAACCGGGCTGTTTGCTGACATGACGGCAAAGTTCCTTTTGCTCCCCACTGATGTGCCCTTACGGGAAGCTCGGGAAGCCCATGGCCTCGCACCAGTGCTATCTCCACACACAGCCCACGCCGCTCACTTTTCTTTTCAAACATCTGTAGGTTCCGGTGTTTGTCCATCAATTTTTCAGACTGTGGTGGCTTATTGGTTGCTGTGATGCCAGAAGCCGGGCCACCAGTATTTCAAATGCCAGCAGGCCCACCCATGTGGACAGGTGAAGTGCAGGATCCAGAATAAGACACACTGGGAATATGTAGACTACTTGTGAAAAATAAGTACTTCAAACCTGATGCGTAGTAGCCAAACACTGCCAGAAATAAGACCAGAAGATTGACCTCTGAAGTTAGAAAGAACCCAAAATAAGATTAGGGAATAGTTTGATCTTACTGACGTTGATGAGACAACCCTTTCAGGACCTTCATTTTCTGTTGGGGTACCACGCAAAATGAGAAGCAGCAGATGCAAACATCCATTAATAATCAGAAAGCGCAAAGTAACATTACGAATCTAGGAAAATAGGAAGTTGTCAAAAATGAAATCTAATGCATGAAGACCGATGCTGAAATGAACTGGTATTAGTTATTTTGCATCAGACCATCATGGTTTCAATGCCACGGACAAAAAACATGAAGATGAATAGCACTATTTTAAGGAACATTTCAACATTGACCTTGAAATACACTGCTGTTCATGATAGGAGACTACACAGATACCTGCAGGTGTAAGATCAGTTAGAAGGTCTATTACTCAAGTTTATATACAAACCACTCAAGTCAATAATGGAAATACTGGAGAATTCTACCAACTTTTGTGGTCTGAAATTGATCAAACATGCAATCTAGATGCACTGATCATTTCTGTCAATTGAAATGATAAAGTTGGAAACAAAGAAGGCTCAGAAATTGGGAAACATGGCATTTCTTATAGAATGAAGGTGAATGTGGCATGATAGAATTATATCAGCCCAATAACTTATGTGATAAAAATGCCTTTTTCCACAAGATAGTGACTACACAGGCGAAGTTCACTAGATAGGACACACACGAATGAAATGTTGACACACTTTCCCTTTCCCCAGAGGTCACACTGGCCCAGCACATCGACTACATTAAGCTGACTGGACCTAGCAAGGACGAAGGGGAAGTCTTACTGGGCAAACATCGCGTGTGAGAGGCTGGTGATGAACCTAACAAAAACATGTGCCCCCTTCACCTCAGCAAAACGTCTAGGGGTCTAGACGGGTGGGGCATGTCGAGATGTTCTGACTAAAGTATAAGGTCAGTCATCGCAGCCAGCACCTCCCACCGCTAAAAAGAAGGCACAACACCGATGGCCTCTTTGGATTTGGGAGGCAACACGTACCTCATCTGGGTGTGCAACTCCTGTTTATGGGTCAAGTAGCTCCAACAGCAACGAGCTCTGTTGGGGAAGTGGAGGCTCTGCAGCCGGGGAAGTGCTCTATTGTTGAGTGATCTGCTGCTTGTGCATGTGACCCAGCTGAAGACCTGCCAGCGACTCCACAACGTGGCGTCCTGGGCATTTTGAAGCTTAAGGCATTCTGATCCACCTCTCCTTTTTAATTTTTTTTTAAAGCAGCTAATCCTTTTGTGCAGTTCGAAAGGCAGGAAAATACAAGTGGGGTGAGATGGAAGATTAACTTCTTTAGCTTATCCCCACATAATCCACCCCATGCTGACCAGTTCAGGTTAAAGAGAGGACAGCAGAGCCATTGATGTTGGTCTGGAAGAGGCTGGCCGTTGCCACAAACTTTCGTGTTGTTAAGCCACCCTTCTCCCTGTCCCTCTGCTAGAAGGAGTGGATTTTCTCGAATGATGTGTCTGTGCTTGTCGGCGGTCCAGGTGGCGCCCCCGGGAGTACTCCACTCCAGAGAGTGGGCTGTCCATGCCCCAGCCCAGGGAGCTCACCTCCGAGTCCGCACGTTCTGAGCCCTCCCCAGCATGCTGTGTTCTGCTTTCTGCCATGGGGCTCCAAGGCCTGTGTGCGGGGTTTTACAACAGTCAGAGACTCCGATGTGTGAGGAGGCTGACTTGAGAGGGAGAGTACAGCCCTACTCCCTATTAGCAGAATCAGAAGTCTGGATTCCTTTTTACATTCAAGACCATTCCAGTATCCATACACTCAAAGGAATTCTTAGGTGACTTTCCATAACAGGTTTTTTTCGGTCACAATACTTTTTATTTCCAAACATTGCACTTCCATTTAGCTCTTCAGCAAGCTATGTGAAGGAAGGTCTGTTTAACTTTACCAGCAGCATTTCAGACCACAGAGAACATTCTGATGCTACAAAATTGAGAATGGGTTCAAATCCAGACAAAGGCAATGGCCAGAAAAAGAGAAATCTCAGGGATTTTCTTCTTGTACAGACCTTGACTTAGAAGAATGGCTACACATTTGTCCTTTGAACCATGAGGGAATTTCAAAACAATCATGAAAAAAATTTTAAAAATGGAATATTTCCATAAACTCTTTGAAGATCTCTCATAGAGCAATCATCTTCCCTCTAAAATTCTGGCCTCTGGTGCATTGCTGTGATATGAATGGTCAGTCTCACTCTATGTCCATATGAAATGCATTCTTCACACGCGTGTCCTTCTCACCTCCTCAGAGCTATCCAAGCCACGTGCTTCCGATGTGTGCATCTAAGACAGGGCCAATGTGTTATCCTCTGCCATCCCAGGACATCCCAGTGCCTCCTCCTATGAGCCTGCCGTGTACACTGTACTAGGCGTATTTTTCATGGAAGGAGTAGCTCCCCCAAGTAGATACAAATTAAAAATATGGTGGTAGCAATTTGAGTACCAGAAGATATGTTCCACGTACATTGCAAACTGGGTGTTGTGTTGTTGACTGTGGTGGCTCTACTAAGAAACTTACAGGTGGCCAAAGAAAAATGATTGATTTTATAGAAATAAATGTTGCTCGTTCTCCTAGAATGTACCAACTGGAAAGTAGACCTCTATTCCACTTCCTAAGTGCTGTATTCACATCCCTTCCATTGTTCCATGATCTTTATGGAAGAAGAAGTGCTTGGGTCACTGAGGATAGAACAGTGAGCTAGACACTATCCCGACCCTTATAAAGCTCACTTTCTAATAAAGCTCACTTTCTAATCAAAAGGCATGCTAGCAAATAAGTGTGCATTAATTATACATTGAAGGTAGAGATTCAATTTTCTTTAAAATATCAGCAAGAACCATTTTCTTTCAACGGCATTACATGGGATATACTTGGAGGAAGGGGGGAGGCCCATATAATTAATTACAGACATCTCAACGCAATGTCATTCCGCTACTCTCATGATTGCATCTGCCCCTCTACGTAAGCAGTTTTGGGTCCTTGGGTGGTAGGTAAGTTACTTGGTTGAAGATTCATGTCTACCCAGAGGCATCTGGAAAGAAAGGTTTTCTTCCACAATTCAGCCACTGAGCATCCTATAGAGCAGTTCTACTCTGACACACGGGGTTCCCCACTATTCAGAGTCGCCGCAGCAACAAATGGTCCTGGCCTGTTTGTATTCCACACACTAGAGGTTCCAAAGGACCACACTGAAAAAGCAATGGGTTTCTAGAAATTACTGTGGGATGATGTGAAGCGGTCCTGGGGGGAAGACAAGGGTGCATCACAATCCGCGGTGGGCTTATCCAGCAGCCGTGCCTACCTCTTTGTTTGTCCTGTCAGCTTGCACCAGTGTCCCGTTCAGGCAAGGTTCCACATAGTGGGTGTTATTATTGTACTGCAAGAATAACAAAGGCAAAGGAAAGACTTAGTTATGAACCTGGGGGGCGGGCATTATTTAGTCACTTTAAACACATACGTAAGAAAGCAATAGCCCAATCACGGGCTCAATTCCTCCACAGAAGGCCTTTCTCCACGGTGCTCCCCTCTCGAGGCCACCGTGAGTATGTGACAGGGAGAGACTCCACAGTACGTGCTGGTAGTGAGATGGTGCAGGGTGTACACAGTTAACACACAGTGAACCAACCGCCTTCAAGGATGGCACCAAACCATGTGAGAGCCTTTGGGAGCTGCTGACACCATAAAATCCATGCGGGATCAGAAGAACACCTGGAGTTGAGTGTACCCAGGTCTAGGGCCCTTATTTGGCCTTTGAGGCCAAAAGACTCACATTTGTCATTAGTGACTGGGAACAGAAAGGAGTATGTCGGGGGGCTTGATACTCCCCAGTCACTCTGGACAGACATGGGGACACAGTCAGTGCCCTGCTCATGAGCAGCAATGCCCCCTCCCTCAGGTTACCGACACCCAAATTTCTCATCATTTTTGTTACCATCATACCCAGAATATGACCCTTTATTTTTGTTCAAATGAATGTTCTTCGTGTCTCTTATCAAGTTTGATTCTCTGCACAAAACACAACCTGATCAGGTCAGTTTCTGCCCATCTCCTTTCCCGGTGCCCCTCAGCTCTGCAGACAAACCTTCCTTGGCGTCACAGGCCTCTGGAGCATTTCTGTTAGCTAGCTCTAGCCTCTGTACCGTCGGCTGGCCAGTCCTCATTTCCATCCTATCCCTTGGCACGCCCTGTCTTTTCCCTTGGGCCACCTTACACCTACTGTGCACTCACCTGGGAGCCCTCCCATCGCCACCTCCCGCTATCTTCCAGGTCACAACTTCCCCCCCACCTGCTTTGGTAAGCTTCCCTAGCTACAACAAGTGGGGGGCTGGGTCCATCTCCCATTTGTTCTCATATTCCAATCGCCTATTGCTGGGATTCTCCAAATCATGACTGCCCATGCCTGATTTCCAGTGTATTCCCTGTGGCAAGTACACGGCTAGGCCCACAACGGGCGCCCTAAACTATCTGTTCAGTGAGTGGGTCATGATGCTTCTATTTTGGCAACCAAAGGCCGAGCCCCGGCTCCTAGGAGGAGGAACCAGACCACCTCTCAGAGAACCAGCTAAGGAGTTTGGACTTCAAGCTCATGGACAGTGAGGACCACGGCAGGCTTTACTGGGCAGCAAGTGAAAGAACCTGCTTCTCTGTGTCGAAGGCAGGGGTAGATTAGAAGAGAGGACAGCCCGAAGGCTACTAGAGTGGTTGACATGCATCATGTTTCAGATGCCAAGGTGCTGGAGAAACAGCCAGGGTTAGAAACAGCACTAAGGCTGTGGAACTGTGTGGCGCACTTACTTCGTGTGGGAAGAAGCTAAATTTCTCTCACGGATTGCCTCATCCAGCACTTCCGATCATTCCCCATGCATCAGTGGGACAACAGAGGCGGAGAAAAGACCGTCAACGTTACTGAAGTCACCGGGAGTCTGACCTCATAGCCACTTCGCTCAGAACCACAAAGGGACAACCTCTCCTCTCTGGTCCCCAAACCTCTACATTCTCCTGAAGTTTGACATTTTTCTCTGTCTTTAATCTTTATACTTTGTCGTAATAGTTTAAGAAAACATTATACCCCAGTGGTCTTAGGGCTTTAGTCCTCCTGCTGAGGTGTAAAAGAGAAAACACACACACACACACACAACCATTTTTAGAAATTGGAAACTAGCCAACGGGAGGTGGTGGTGGTGGTGGTTTTTGCCAATAAACGAAAGAGGGATCCAGGAAACAGTCACGCACAGTCTGAGGAAGGGTTTCCCCAGGTCTGTGCTGCCCTTTCAGCACGGCTGCACAGCCACGGGGACTAGGCTCATAGATATTCCTCCCTTCTCCACTCTTTCACTTAGTTGGTTCAGGGAGAAACAGGGTTCTTTCTGAGGCAGAGCATTTTCGCTCTGTCTTCACCATCATTATCTCATTGCCCCTCTCTGGACACCTGTTTTCATGGCCGATGCTTGCTCATGCTCAGGCCCAGCCAATGAAATATAAAGAGAAGTTTCCAGGAAGTTTGAGAGAAATGTTGTATTGTTATTAAAGGAGAGCCTTCTTGGGTGTATCACCTTCCTTTGTACTTGGGATGCTAATGTACCAGGGGGTACCCACCCAACAAAAACAAAACAGGAAAAATCTCTGCTGGGCAGTGCTTTGATAGTACACATTTTCCCCACTAGGTGAGCATCTTCAACTCACTCAAGTTAGTGCACTCAGTGGCGTCACCTGGGAAGGTACTCTCTGGTCACAGTGAATCTTTATGTAAACGCAGTGTCGCTTGAACCTCATTTTTTGCATTAGCCGATTTAAGAGAACTGTGTCCCTGCCCAGAAAAAATGCCTCAGAAACTGTTGTGATGTTAAGCACAACTTACAAGGTCAGCGCTATGGGGAAAACTCAAGTGTATGAGTGGTTTTCTTGTGAAATGTCCATGGGTGACAAACCTCATTCTGGACACCCATCAATTTCACGAATGGACGAAAATGCTGCCCAAATCCATGCACTTGTGCTCAAATAATGACAGTGGACCACTGAAGAGATGGGGAAGTTATTGGGGGTCGTTGTGAAATTTGTGCCTCAGACTCTAAGTGACCAGGAAAAAGGATGTCAAGTGGAAACATGCCTTGCTGTGAAAGAACAGCTCCAAAGCGACCCAGACTTCTCCCCCCAAGGTCATTACTGGTGATGAGACATGGTGCTATTTCTCACAACCCTAAAAGCAAACTTCAGTCAAGCCAGTGGAAGATGCCATTGTCACCTCACCCCAAAAGATCTCATCAAGTGAAATCAAAGATCAAGACTACGTGCTCATTCGGTTTTTTGATGTGAATGCATTTGGAGTTCATCCCACCAGGTCAGACTGTTAATCGAGCTTTCAATTTAGAGGTTCTGAAATGATTGCGTGACCAAAAAAAGGCTTGATTTGTGGCAGACTGGGACTGGTTTTGCCACCATGACAATGCACCCGCTCATGCAGCCATCTCAGTGTGACAGTTTTTGGCAAAAACCAGCTTGCTTCTCTTGCCACACCCACCTTATTCACCTGACCTGGCTCCATGCAACTTCTTTTTGTTTCCACAAATGCAGAGGGGCATGAAAGGTCAGTGATTTGATGACTTAGAAGAGGTGAAGAAAAAAATGAGGGAGGTTGAGGACAAAGCAATGGGACCACAGTTCCACAGAGACTTAGGGGGAGGATGAAGCGGAAGGAAGGAGTGGTGACCAAACAATGCCATGGGCAGGGGAACAATTAGGTAATTAAAATCAACAAGGAGGAGGACATAGGGACCCTGGGGCTGTTGGAGCAACAGCAATCTAGCTGAGAGGAATCACTAAGTGGCAGAAGAAGGGTGAGCATGATGGTGGGGCAGGAAGAAGGTAAAAGAAACAGGAAAGATCTAGGAAGTAAAGCTATGGATAGAGGTATAAAAACAGGAGTAAATTTATGTAAATATAGTAATTCATAAAAATAGAAGTATTGGCCTATGTACATATATTTATATAGCAATACAATGAGGAACTAGATGGACTTTGGGCCTCTGATCAAGCCCTCCTTCAATGCAAGAATACTTTGTTCTAATAACCTGATATTCTGTGATGCTCACCCTCCGGCCGTGATCTCCGAAGACAAAATTGGTGCATTAGTAAATGTGCTTGAAGAAAGCTGATGATGCCCAGCTATCAAAAGATATAGTGTCTGGGATCTTAAAGGCTTGAAGGTAAACAAGTGGCCATCTAGCAGAGAAGCAATAAGCCCACATGGAAGAAGCATACCTGCCTGTGTGATCATGACAGGATCAGGTAACAGGCATCAGAAGACCCAAAGCAAATGAACAAACATATTGTTGAGAACAAGAGGGATCAGAGCAGAGACCCCAAGCCCATCTGTAGACAATAGGAAAGGGTGAGTCAACCAGGGCGCAGTACAGCACTGATGAAACACACATTATCCCTCTGGTTCCTTGAGGTTTCTTCACCCCCCACTACCATGACCCCAGGCCTGCCTTCTACTGCGGGCTAGGCTGGAGCATGCAGACTGGTACAGATAGTAACACATGATATATGGAATCCAGGTCAGATAAACCCCTCAGGAACAGAAATGGGAATAGCAATATCAGGAGGGTAGGGGGGAGGTGGGGAGAGGAGAGGGGAAGAAACCTCGGTTGGAGGGGAGACAGCGGTCAGTGTAAGATATGAAATAATAATTTCAAATTTATCAAGGGGTCACGAGGGTGGGAGGGGGGAGGGTAAAAAGAGTAGCTGATACCAAGGACTCAAATAGAAAGTAAATGTTTAGAAAATAATGATGGCAATACATGTAAAAACATGCTTGATATAACTGATGTATGGATTGTTATAAGAGCTGTAAGAGCCTCCAATAAATTGATCTTTAAAAGAAAAACGAAACAAGGGAGGTGCTGTCAGCCATCCAAACAGATGAGTTTGAAAAATGTTTCCAAGAATGGAATCACAGGTATGACAAATGTGTTCAGTATAATGGAGAGCCCTTTGAAGGTGATAAGGTTGTTTTTTAAAAAAATTAAATACATGGCTTTGGGGGGGAAATCCATTTTTTTGCCGGGGGGCGGGGCAGGGTTAGTCCCTCATAGAGCTATGGGAGGCACTCGGCAACCTTGAGGGGACAGGACTGAGATTGAAGTGGAAGCAAAGCCTCCCAGCAGGCAGCAGACAAGGCAGGGAAGTGGAGGAGTGTGGGCGTTGGAGGCCACCTGAGCTGCTGTCCCAGACGGAGGGTTCTTACACAAGACACTTGGGCCCTTCTGTAACCTGCAGTGAGGTTCCCACCTGGATCCGGCTTCCTTTTCTCCCTCCACTGCCCTGGAACATAGGAGCTAAACTCACATTCTGCCTGATCCATATTCCTAAGCCAAA